TATTGGTGACAACCCAGCCCATGCCTCCGGACAATCTGGGCAAGGGGGCGCATACAGATGTTGAATAACATCGGGGAGAGCACAGCCTCTTGGGGCACACTACACACTACTGAGTGCCTTTGGGACTGCTGCTCCCCGATGGCTACCCTTTGTCCCCAACCTTGGAGAAAGGAGAAAAGCCATTGCAAAGCAAGCCCCTGAATTCCCATGTCAGCGAGGCGGTGGGTGAGCAGCTTATGATCAACCATGTCAAACGCTGCCAACAGGTCCAACAACAGCAACACCGCTGTCCCACCCCGATCCAGATGTCTCTGGAGGTCATCCGTGAGGGTGACCAGTGCTGTCTCCGTCCCATGGCCCGGGCAAAAACCGGACTGGAAAGGATCTAGCATGGAACCGTCATCCAGAAAACGTCGACTGCCGAACGTGTGGGAGGCAGGGCCACATCGCTCGTGCTTGCAGGGCGCCAAGGAACTCCGTGTCAGCATCACCGCCCAGGAATCAACGACCCTGAGCAGCACACAGAGAAGCCAGCTGCCAGATGACAATGAGCCTGTCATCCAAATCTACAGTCCTTCGCACCGGAGGACCAGGAAAGATCCACATGACTATCCACCTTGACGGCGTTCCATGCAGCATGGAGGTCGACTCGGGATCATCAGCGACAGTCTTGTCATCCCAAACGTGGCAGCGGCTATTTCCGACATGAAGTCAACGGCGGCTGAAACCCGCAGACACCCAGGTGTCTGATTTCCAGGGGAAGTGTATTCCTCTAGTGGGGAGGGATACCTTTAACGTTGAGTTTAAAGGGAAATGTGCGATGCTCTCATTACTGGTGGCTGAAGGGAACCAAGTAAACCTACTCGGTTTAGATTGGTTTGAACCTCTATGCATTGCAATTACCGGTGTGAATAACATTTTGGAAAATAAGTGGGCATTACTGTATGCTGAATTTCCTGATGTATTTGGGGGCGGTCTGGGAAAGTATACGGGGCACCCAGTGTCGTTTGAACTTGATCTCTCTGTGACCCCGATCCGTTTAAAGTATAGGAAGGTGCCTATTCCGCTTAAGCCAAGGATCGAAGCTGAGCTGGACAAGCTGATCGCACAGGGGGTGTTGGAACCAGTTCCATTCAACAAGTGGGAGACCCCCATCGTCACGCCAGTGAAGTCAGATGGATCGGTACGTATCTGTGCTGATTATAAGTGCACCATTAATCATGCTTTGCAGCAGCATTCGTACCCCGTCCCCGTTATCAGCCACATTCTGGCGTCCCGGGGGGGGGGGGTAAAGTGTTTGCAAAATTTGATTTAGTGCAAGTGTATCAGCAACAGCCGGTAACCAGAGAGGCAGCTGAAGCCCAAACTATAGTTACCCACAGAGGGGCTTTCAGAGTGAACAGACTCCAATTCGGAGTGAATGTGGCCCCAGGGATTAATGGAAGGGTTACTAAGGGGGGTGCCGAGAACGGTACCATACTTTGATGACGTGTTAATTGCCGGAGGGTCCGACCAAGAACTCATGGAGCGGGTCAGAGAAGTGTTGAAATGCTTCAAGGAAGCTGGCCTTAAGGTGAAACAATCTAAATGCATCATTGGTGTTCCTAGTGTGGAGTTCTTGGGATTCAGGGTAGATGAAACTGGTGTCCACCCCACAGACAACAAGGTTGCGGCAATTAAAAACGCCCCACAGCCTCGTAATAAGAAGGCGCAGTCCTTTCTCGGACTACTCAATTTCTACCACGCTTTTCTGCCACACAAAGTGTCGATAGCGGCTCCATTACATGGGCTCCTTCACAAGGACACAAAATGGAGTTGGGGTTCAGAGCATGAGCGGGCTTTCGAGGGAGTCAAAGCCTTACTGTCTTTAAACGCTGTACTCACAAACTATGATGAACATAAATTGTTGGTGTTGGCCGCAGATGCGTCTCCATTTGGGGTGGAGGCGGTCCTTAGCCATTTAATGCCAGATGGCTGGGAAGCCCCCGTCGCGTTTTATTCGAGGTCGCTTTCTGCTGCAGAACAAAACTATGCTCAAATTGATAAAGAAGGGTTGGCACTTGTTTCTGCAGTCAAGAAGTTCCATAACTTTTTGTTTGGGAGGAAGTTTCTTCTTGTGACAGATCACAAGCCTCTGTTGGGAATCTTTGCCCCAGACCGGCAACTTCCCAACATTATGTCACCACGAATGTTGCGGTGGGCTCTCTTTCTATCCGCATACGAGTATGACCTCGAACACAGGCCGGGCAAGGCCATCGGACATGCAGACGCACTCAGTCGCTGCCCTCTACCCGGCCAGAACTTGGACCCTGCTCCAGCTAGCACAGTGTTAGCAGTTGACGAACTGCCCCAGGCTCCGATCTCCTCCACAGACATTGCTGCTGTGTCAGCTAAAGACAATGTACTAGCCCGAGATTTGAACTGGGTTTGGAGGAGGTGGCCGGTGGGGACTGCGGAGCTGGAATTTAAACCCTTTAAAGTGCGCCAAAATGAATTGTCAGTTTCTAAAGGGTGCTTGTTGTGGGGAAACCGGGTGGTGGTGCCCCACAAACTAAGAGAAAGAGTGCTGAAATCACTACATGAGGGCCATCCAGGCATGGTCCACATGAAGGCGCTAGCCTGGGAGTATGTTTGGTGGCTTGGGTTAGATGCCGACATTGAGCATGCCTTGCCAGCAGTCCAGACCAGAATCGCCAACCGCCACTCCGCAAAAATGGGAGTCTGCAGGGAAGCCTTGGTCCAGGCTTCACCTGGATTTTGCCGGGCCAGTGCAGGGACAAATGTTCTTTATTATTGTCTATGCGTATACGAAGTGGTTGGAAGTTGCACACATGCACTCCACCACTTCGGTTGCTGTTATCAACGTACTGCGTCGATTGTTTGCCACCCACGGACTGCCGGACGTGTTGGTGAGCGACAACGGCACACAATTTGTCTCTCAAGAGTTCTGTCAGTTCCTGTCTGACAACGGCATCAGGCAACTGACAGCAGCTCCATTCCACACGGCCTCTAACGACCAGGTGGAAAGAATGGTCCGGACGACCAAAGAGGCTCTTGCTAAGCTGACGCAAGGGGACTGGGGGTTGAAGCTGGCATTGTTCTTGCTACGCCAGCATGTTACCCTGTGCTCTTCCACAGGCCGCAGCCCGGCCGAACTGCTTATGGGGCACCGTCTCACGGCGCTGTTTGACAGGCTGCATCCGGACCTTAACAATCTTAGGCCCCAACAGCAGAGTGCACTACCCAAGGTCCAAACATACGAAAAAGGGGACAAGGTATTTGCACGAAATTATGCGGGAGGTCACTCGTGGCTACCAACCACTATTACCGAAATAGTTGGGTCAAGAATGTATGTGGTGCAACTTGGTGATGGTCGCAAGTGGCGACGCCACATAGACCAGCTGAGGCAGTCCCAACTCGCAGCCAGCTGAGTCCATAGAAACCGAGGACCTTCCCCGACCTCCTCCGGAGGTGAGTACTGCTGAGCCCGAGGGCCACAGTACTGTCCAAGAGGCAGGGCAGACCCCTACTCGCGGACCCATAGAAATGGACGGAAGTGTTCCTGACTCTGTGGTCCCAGAGTCAAACAGAGTGCCCCTAGCAGCGCTGTGCCCTGAACCTACTCCACCTCGTAGGTCTCAGCGAATGCGCCGAGCACCGACCTACCTAAGTGATTATGATTGTACATGATTGTTTTTGCTTAGGGGGGAGGAATTTGTAATGTATTCAAAGCTGTCATGAATGCTGGATCTGTTGTGAATCATCTCATAAGGAAGCAAGCTTCATCCTGGGCTAGGATCCAAATACAGCCAATGACATCGCTAGTCCAGGAAAAGTGTCTCCAATCACTTCAAGCTAGTCCCCGAGCAAGAACGATCGTGATTGGGTCTTATGCGCTCAGTCGTATTGGTTGTTATGTGTATGATAGGCGTGGCTATATTAGCCGGGAAATGTTTAAAAGCAGGACAGCTGCAATGTAAAAGCTGTTCTGGCTATCAGATGTTGATCCGTGTTGGAGAAATATTCGAGTTGAAGAATAAAGTTGTGTTCTTGCTGAAATCACTCTCTGACTATTTGTTAAGCTCACGACTTAATAGTTACATTTATCCCCATTGAAATTAATTTAGGCCAGTTTTCCAGTCTGTCAAGATCATCCTGACACTTCTGTGTTTTGTAATTTGTTTATAAAAATTATAAAAATTAAAAAAAAAATCATCCTGACTTTGTCCTCTACCATATTTGCTACTCCTCCCAATTTAGTATCATCTACAAATTTAATAAGCACTCCCTCTATTCCTTCATCCAAATCATTTATAAAGATGTTGAACAAAACAGGTGAATGAATGAATGAATAAATGAATTAACATCCAGCTGTGGCTAGATAAGATAGAACATCAGCAAACTTGTCCAGCCAAGTTTCAGACAAAAAGGCAAGGTCTACCTACTACTATAACAGCAAATCATACATTATTGAGATCTTAGTTGTTACAGATACATTATTACACAATGTTGTGGTTGAAGCGTTGGCCTCACCCCCACATCTCTCAGGGTAGAATGGAAATGGCATATCTACATTTCATCATCTGGTTCCTAACACTGTCAAATCTCACAACCTCATGCATCGCCCTGCTTGCCCTTTGGCTGTAATACAAATCAGGGCTCTGTAGTGAGAGAGTGGAATCCATAGGAGTTGTTTGCTCATCAGTAAGTGGAAGATTCCCATCTGGATACAACCCAATGTGTCCAAAATCATTTTAATATTTTAACTCTTACTTAAGACTTTACAGATACTTAAATGAGAACTCAACAACTGCTTTCTTAAAATAGAAATGAGCATATAAGTACCCCTGTACTGCCTTCTGACATTGGTCAGCAAAGCAAGATAGCCACCGCCAAACACAAAGCCACCAATACCCTTCTTGGACACTTTGGTCATAAGGATGCAATAGATTTCAGCAAACAACAAAACTATTAGTCTTATGAGTCTTATGCAAACTTACCATGTACCACATACTTGGCCATTTGGGATCATTAAAATATGTAGATTGGGTACCAACAGGTTTGTAATCTCTCTTTATCCTTCTTTTTACAACTTGTTGTTCTATCCATTCCACCTGTCGATTCAAACAAATGGTAAATATTTTAAAAAGCTACCATGGGTATTCTAAAATAAATATAAAATCTGAAGATATTGCTGTTAACAGGCACAAAAGCATATTCAGGTGCCAAGTTCCTTTTAATTTTATAGTTATTTAAAATACAAAATTTAAGTAGCACATCCGCATAGATAATAGTACTAAGAGCCCTTAAATGAACACCACCATTTCAGAAAATGCTTTGGGGTTATTTGAGAGACAGAGAGACAGACAGAAAAAAAAATGCCCTTTGTTTTACAAAGTGTTTTCCCTGTACTGACTGTGGATCTCTTCCCAGTAATGAAACTATTTTGGTCAAGGTGAATATCATTAACTATTACCTTAATTTGTGATTTATAATCAATGTTTAATAAAATCAGTAGTCCATAAGATCCAAGATTGGTTGGATCTTTATTTGGTTTTTGAATTAAAATATTTTTGCCTCATTTCAAATTTTAGCAGGAAACATAATTGAAACTAGATTTTTGCAAAGGATATATATATATAAAGAATATTTTAAAAAGCTACCATGGTCTTATCTGTCATCTCTCCCCCCCCCCAATTTCTGGTTCCGTGTATTCAGAATCGCCTTGAGCCAGTTCATACCAGTAAGGCGGGATACAAATTGAAAGCAAATAAATAAATAAATAAAGATAAGGAATTACTTATTTATATTTATTAGCTTCTATAACCAAAGGTCTTAAGCTAAATTATGAAAGATGAATATACAACATTAGCCTCATAATACGAACTTTACAATAATCATTGACAGTCAAAGTAATCAAATCTAAAAGATCTAAAATGTTAAAAGAAGTCATTAATAAAACTATAATTCATTTAAATATCCATTTAAAGATAAGGAATTGAGTATGATCTGGTTATAATTTAACCTGCATTACCCTGCTGCTTAGTTTTCTGTTAATTGTTTACATTTTTTTAAAAAAAATATGGCTTCAGATATTAACAACGGATACTTGGACATATTCCATGATTCTTGGCAGTTTCCAAAGTGGCACAAGGAGCTACTGTTAAAAAAAATGCTGCTGCGTATCTGTATCTTGCAATATGCACCTCTGGATCAAAGACTTAGTATCAAAGTAAAACTTATAATGATAATGTTATCTTTAACTTGAATATTCTTACAATCAATTTTGGCTTAAATTCCAAAGTTTTCTTTAATTATTCTAGTTTTACTTGAGATAGTGTCTGGACAATAGAAATCAATTAACTGGACTATTCAAGGGTTTAATTTAAACCAAGATTCATGGGTACAATCCAGGATTACATACATTCTAATTGTCCCCATTACCAGAGACACTCTGTTTTATGATGCCTATTATGATTATACTTACTAGGTTATCCACTGTGGAAGGAACCTCCCACCATTTGCCTGCTGTCCTTGCCACTGCTCAGTGGGGTAAAATGAGCTAAAGCCATTGAGTTGGGGGAAATCCTAAAGTGTCACACCGTTGTGGTTTCACTTCTGGGTTTGGAGCCCATTCCTGCCCCCCTCTCCTGCCTAATCATGGTAAATCATTGTTCTTACTTTATGACTTTTGTTTTACTTTTAGGGGATGTTTATTTTTAGTGTCAATTGTTAGGATTGTCAGACTTCTACTCTCTAGCCACAGTTCTTGCATGTTAATGCATACACATGAACACTAAGACCTGAACTACAGGTTACAATTTGTAACATATAAGCCCAAGCTAGCCTGATCTCATCAGATCTCAGAAGCTAAGCAGGATCAGCCCTGATTAGTATTAGGATGGGAGGCCATCCAGGGTCCGGGGTCACTACACAGAGGCAGGAAATGGCAAACAACCTCTGAATGTCTCTTGCCTTAGAAACACTACAGGGTCGCCATCAGTCAGCTGCAACTTGATGTCAAAGAACAAAACAAGGCTTGGGATTCCCCTGACCTGATGCTGATGCCAAAAGTTAGATGTCAGGAGCATGGGAACTTATTTTCAAGTGCTCAGGGCCCCTATTAGGACTGGGACTGTGGTAGGAAGCAGAAGGGGCTTCAATCTTTCCCTTGCACCACCTTCCCAACCTGAAAAGTATGCATACGGAGAGTGATTTCAGCTAAGCATACCTTTATTCAGTCAGGAACAAAGACAACTAACTGGCTCGCAGGCCGGCTTATATTCCCTCTGAGAAACCCACCACCAAACACCCCCCCACTCCCGATAGGCTATTTACAGTAACCAAGAGACCTATTGGCCTCTTGGCCAGGACCTAGCCCTTTCATTGGGCCTGGCTAGGATCCTATTTGCCCATTGTCTTTAGGTCTGAAGCTTTAGGTACCGTATTTTTTGGACCATAAGACTCACTTTTTCTTCCCAAAAAAGTGGGAGGAAAAGTGAGTGCGTCTTATGGACCGAAGGTTCAGAATATGTTTTTCCCTGTTTTCCTCCTTTAAAAACTAGGTGCGTCTTAAGGTCAGGTGCATCTTATGGTCCAGACATGCCCGGCCCTGTCAGGGCCTGATACACTACACAACCCAAAACTGTTCTTGGGGGGTGCTACCTGCTGTGTTGGGTGGCTGTGCATATAGCACATCAGTACACAAGCAACCCATCAACTGGGCAAATAACAACTCACCCCACCCCGAGCTGTGTCAGATCAGGAAAATGGCATGGAAGAGATAGTAAACCTCTGAATACTATCAGTGGAAGGCTTTGACCTCTTTCTTCTGTTTGCTGGTTGCCAAGGGCAAGTGCTTGGCTACTCTGTGAAACAGGACTAGATGGACCTCTGGTTTGATTCACCAGGGTTTTTCTTGTTCTTATATTGTAATAATCTTACAACTCCTTTTTCTGCTAGCAAATCACAGCTAGTCCCCACATACTGGTTATAATAAATATCCTTGACTGTGGATTTGTGGGTACTGACATTTATTGGAGATCTATAAGATGGAGAGCAATATTTACAGGAATGTATTGGACTTTCATTCTGCAAGTTTATCAGTATTTCCTGTAAATATTCCACATCTTGTATTTCCTGGATTTAGCAAGTTGTCCTGCTTTCTGAGGACACAAGCTCAAAATGCAGGCTTACTCACTGAAAGTCTTCAGATATAACAAAGAACCGATATTCATCTTGTTCCAGCTCAAGCAAGTTTCCAGACCCTACTTAGCATCCAAGATCTGACAAGACCAGACTATGGCCGAGTTCAGACTGGCAGTTTGCCCCGATATAGGCTCATGTGAGGAACATTTCACAAGCGGATTAAAGGGGCCGTTCACACAGGGACATCTGTCCGACGTTCCCCACCCATACTCAACCTGTCTTGTAGTGCTTGCATCCCGGGTTTAAAATATACCTGGTGAAAGTGGTAGCAAACCCTGGAGAGCCCGTTTATCCCGCTTCATTCTGCTTCCCGGAAGTGTGAACGCTGACCGCTAAAAGCCGGGAACAGCCTGCGTTAATAATGTGTGCCAGCTGTTTATGCTGACTGACCTCCTAGCCTCACCCTGGCACCAGGAAGGTGATTGCCTTGAAGAGGGGGTAGTGATGTGGCTGGATGTGCCTATCGCCACAGCGGCCAGATCCTGCCCTATTTGCTGCTGCGCCTAGGCATCTGCCGCGAGGAAAACGCTGCTTACAGCCGCACCTCCGGCCCAACAGTGTGAACGCTCCCTCGCACCTTCTCCCCGTATGCTCCCGCATCAGTCTGCACAGTGTGACCGGGAAAACTCAGAACAGTTTGTTCCGGCTCTTTTTTGCAACGACTCCCTCCCACCTCAAACTGCCAGTCTGAACTTGGCCTATATATCCCCAAACAGTAGGTTAATAACTCTTTAAAAATACAGTTCAATTTGGGCCAACCACTTCAATCAGCATAAATTGTTAACCAAAAGCTCCTTTGAATAAAACTATTTTACATAAACTGAGGAAGGGAGGGAGTGGGAGCAGCCCGTACTCCTAGTGGCAGATGAAATTAGCTCATAAATGCGAAGGAAGGAGGAAGGATGAAAGGGGGAGTACTACTTACTGCTAGTGGCACCTGAAATTACTTCATTACATGCTAGAAGGGAAGGAAGGTAACTGCTTCTGTACTGAATTTTCATAACTGTACTAATGATATGCTAACATTTACAGGCAGAGCTACCTGGTAGATTCAGAACATAATTGGGTTCCGTTTATAAAATGTGGCTGTTAGATTGTATTGATTCCCTAGGATAAATACAGCAAATTGTTTCGTAGTAAATAAGTACCAGTTGATTTGGATCTAGGGTCTATTTTGGAAGTATACACTATACAACAAAATGGAGTAGTTATTTTACAGTAATGCCAACTACTTCCTATGACTATTTTATGGTTGCATATACTGTCCAATAGCTGACATGCTCTGGAATAGTATGATTCAGTATGAAAAGGATGAATTTGTACGAAAATATTTTCTTCCCCAAATCATCCACACTTCCTAGCTCATATCCCCTAAAGGAAAATCTCTGGAGTAACTGATTATATAGATCCCTGTATTCTGGCAAAAAGAAAATGCTATAAACACAAGGCTTTGCATTTTAACACTTTCATAAAGTGACATTCAGCTGCAAAGGTAACACTGCACAGTTTCCCATTCTCTTTCATTTCAGAGGTTCTATTTTTCTATTTCTTGAACGTTTAAAGAAATCAAAGCCAAATCAGACTGGAATCCAAACCTTTCTCTGAATATTCTCTGTTTAATACTCAGTGTAAAGTTCTATAAATATGCCATGACTGCAGCTGACTAAAAGTTGTTCTAAGACCCCCTTTTTTCTTTAAATAGTGAAAATCAGAATGGTAATATGTAATCTTTTCATAAAGCCAAGCAATTTCTGCTTCCATTTGAGATTATTAAATAAAAGCATACAATGAACCATTTTTCCCCACAAAAAGAAAGGGTATGAATACAACAGATTCAGCAACAGAATCACAGAACAGTCTTTTCAGAAATATATAGCAGACTTTTAATTTATTTTCCAGAACAGTT